TGAAGCACTGGTTAAATGAACATTAACATTACAATAAACTTTACAGCTTTTTTTTTTTTTCTTATCTATAAATGGCAAAGATGTATTATTAGATGAGTAGGCGTTTGAAATATATCTGTAAAACATGCATTTGCTTTATTGGTATTCTTTTCAAAAGCTTGCTTTTTGATAATTATATAAAAGACAAAGAATTTCCTTCCAAAAGTGTTTTTGAAAAAAAGATCAAATTTACGTTAGTCTTTGTCTCTTGCTGATCAAATTTTTTCCAATGTGTTCGAAGCAAAGATGTCAGTTTTATTTCAGAATAATTCTTCTGTATAACACTCTAAAGATTTCATTGTTTTTTATTCATAGACTTTTTTTTATACTTGATTTTTGAATTTGAAAGAACATCTCAGCAGCTTATCCTTCTTTTTCTTTGTTTGACAGTCTTGGAGTTCTTCAAAAAAAAAATCAGTATAATTAATCCATAGATAATCTGGTCTTTTTTCAACGCTGAATAATTTCTTCTCATATGACAAACAGCTGAAAACAGTCGACCTTAAATTCAGAACAATATTTATTTTCAAGTTTTGAAATATAGTTTTTCGGTTGAGAATCGAATACAGTATGACAAAACGACTATTTCAGTGATAAACATTGACAAAACATTAAAGTTAATTAACTTGTGATACACGTAACGGTGTTAATGCGCAAACCCTTTATTACAGGTGGTCTTCCAGTTATATCCATGTTCCTCCTATGCATCTTCCACTTATATAACTGTCAATTGCTTTGATAAGTTACTTCCAACTTTTTTTTTTCTGTTATTCTATCTCAAGGTCACATTTCTCTCTTCTTCTTCCTCTGCTATGAGTCAACTTCTTTTTCGTAGTTTTATTTTCGTATTTGACTTTCTTATGCAGTTGTAAAAAGTACCTTTATTAGGTTTACTGGTTTTTTTCTTGTAACAAGTTGAGCAACTATCCTTTTTGTTTCCTATTACGTTTTTTATGCTAAAATAGACAACTTAATTCTGTGATGCAAGATTGTTTAACTCTTGTTCAGCAAACAGGTTAACACTTACCTCATGCAGACACTGTTTTATACCACGTTACGAAAGCGCCAAAGGATGTATGGTTTTGTTGTTGATCGTTTGCAGTGCAATGATTTTTAGAATCCTATGTTTCAGTACAATCAGTGAAGCCGCTAAGGCAGATTCATTTTGTACGCGAGATCCTTTGCCTGTACGAATTAAGCTGCTGTACATTTGAAACATTTCAATATGGACTTGGTGTGTTTAAAAGTCAGTATGTTACGCTTTTACTTATACAACGCAGATGAAGGTGTCTGAAACCAACAGTTTTTCAGAAGAGTCATTTTAGAATTGTAATAGGCTGAGGTAGTGAGTTTAATGTCTGAAGTCAAGGTGATGGGACTCGATAAGGTGTAATGCGGTTGAACACACCTTGTTTTCAAAGTTAAGAAACATATATGTATATTCCTCTCTATATACATACCCATAAGATTTTGGGAGTGAATTGGTGACTGCAAAAATGCTTTAGTAAAAAAATTATTTTGTAATTTTAGAAGAAGCAAGCAAACATTGTGAATTATTTGTTTAGTTACTGCAGTAGTTTTTGAGTTCAAATTAATGTACGAAGAAGCATAGAACTAGTAAAAGCGAGTAGGTTCATTGAGGCCACTAACATAGAACAATAAATTTTACTGACAAAGCAGTTTTCATTTAAATAAATCCAACGCATGTTTTCACTTGATAATAAATAAAAAAACGTGGTAATAAGGTTGAGAAAATTGTAAAGTATTTTGATTTTCTATTTTTCTCATTCATCTATATTATTTGTTTCACTTTCGGTCTTTATTATTGGTACTTGTGCCAGTCTTTTACCAGGTCTACACTGTTGCATTTGTAGCACACTACAGCGTCTTTTTATTGTTTCGTTGTTACTCTTAGCAACAATTTGGTGTTACTTTAAACTACTAGGCTTTTTATTTTCACTCTATTGACTGCAAAAATAATTCAATTAGTAAGAATTTAAGCAGCAAAATTAGTTTGTCAACTAATTTTAGTAAAGCAGTGAGCCAAATTGAAAATAAA